TGCTGCCTTTCTTTCAGAGATATCCTGCCCAGAGAGGAGGAATCTAGAGAGCAGGAGTGGCTTTCAAAAGCCTCTAAGATATCTAATTTGGGGGCATTCAATGTCCAACATAACATATGAAAAGAAAGCTTATGGGCCCAGTAAATTGAGAGTCACATGCTGGTGAAGACTTTGCTAAAAGAAAAAGGAAGTGCTTCTAGAAAGCACTTTATCCCCGAAAAAGGTAGGAGAAAAGGAAGGAAAATGAACATCCCTAAGGCCACTGTCGGAAAGACTGATGCTGATCATGTCTCCACCTCCTTGTAGGGTGGAACTTACAATTTTTCTAAAGTACTGGTTTCTCAATACCTCTCACTGGCCTATGTGCATATGCAAATGACAGGCTGTTTACTCTTGTTATTCCTTTGGTAATCAAGAGATGATCACTGAGGGGGGAAATATAAAATACAATTTTTAAATATAAAAGCATTCTGGACATATAAAAGTGGTATTTCAGTTTTCAGATGAATTTTTTAAAGTTATGTACAGTTCTTATCAAAAATGTATGTGGCCAACATTTCCTGAGTTTTTTAGGACATAGAGTTGCCACGTTATCAAAAGTTGTAAATTTACATATGCTTCTTGCTGGTAGGTGGGTGACCCCGGAAGGTCAGGCTTTTAGCTAGGCTGAAGAACGTCGGTAGTTATTCTGGCAACAGGATCCAAACTAATATTTTGTTCCTGAGGCCAACCGAGTGGCAACAAAGTGATTCGTGGTTGAATTGAATCCAGCTGGATATTTCTCCAGCGTATTTTAAGAAGCACTGCCTGGTGAGAAGTGTGAATTGTGGTCTAGGCGGAGATAAGGCCAGAGTCAGAGGATATGGCTAAGGCAGTGATGGGAGAAAGGATGCAGACACAGAAGATGGGGAATCCAGAGTAGTTGGATTGCAGTTTGCAGAACCTGTGAGGATCTTCTACAAGTGTAGGAAGGACTGTGAGAGTAGGTATGGCAGCTTCAAGGATAGTGGGTCTCAGCTGTACTATATTTTCTGCAGAGGCAGCATGACGTCGAGTTAGAAGCACGATCCTGGATCCATACTGTCTAGTTTTGAATGCTCCTTCTGTCACTCACTAGCTATCTGGTGTTAGACAAGTTACTTAACTGTTCTGTGCCTCCGTTTCGGAACTGTAAACTGGGGATAATAGTATGTTGATGAAAAGAGTCAAATTCTTTAAAATATTTGAATTTTCATTAGTAACAAGTGGCCCGTGACACAGTCCCACGAGATTCTGTCTCAGGTGGTCAGGCTAAACTTCATTTTATACGTTTTAGGGAGACATAAGACATCGATCAATACATGTAAGTTGTACATTGGCTTGGTCTAGAAAGGCAGGACAACTGGAAACAGGGGTGTCCAGGTTGTAGGTGGATTCAGGAATTTTTTAATTGGCAGTAAATTGAAAGGATTAAGTTATTGTCTAAAGATCCTGATTCAATACAAGGGAATGTCTGGGTTAAGACAAGGGGTTATGGAGACCAAGAGTCCCATTATGCAGATAGAATCAATAGAAGGGAGTATTTCTTATCAGACTTAAAGAGTCTGTTCTTTCAATCTTAAGGTGCCTGTTTTAATGTTAATACTGGTTAGCTGTGTCTGAATTCCAAAGAGGGGAGAGTAAAATGAGGCATGTCTAGCCCCCATCCCTCTGACCTTATCATGGCCTGAAGTAGTTTTTCAGGTTTACTTCGGAATATCCTTGGCCAAGGGGAGGGTCCATCAGCTGGCTGGGTGGCTTAGAATTTTATTTTTGATTTACAGATAGTACCCATCACATTGGGTTATCGGACATATGAAAGGGATGTATGTGTAAGGCACATGACAAGAGCTCTCAAGTGTTAGAAGTTATAATTCTGATCTAGGTTTCCCTAATGTCCAAATTTATTTGTTTTGAAGGTGTTGGGAATTGCATGCTGTGACAGATGATCTCGCTTTTCACTCAGTCTTGAGAGGAGGGCACAGGGGCCTGGTCCATAGCACACTAAATAAAAAATGAAGCAACTATGGACAGTCAAGATTGAAAGGAGTTTTCAGTTTCAACTCACAGGGAGCTAGGTGAAGGGAAATTAGGGAGAAGTATGAACCCACCTTCAGTCAAAGATATGATAAACAAAACAAAAGTCACAGTAGAGTTTTTTAAAAATTAAAAAGAAACCCCACATCCAAACACTTGAAATATTGTGATCTAGTTGAAAGAAAGGAATGTGGGCATGAAATAAAGGTTTGGGGGAAGCGATCTTCCTTCATAGTGAATGGGAGTTGGTCCAGAAATGCCCATGGGCCAAATCTGGCCTACTGCTGGTTTGTGTATGATTAACAAGCTACGATTGCTTTTTACCTTTTTAAATGTTGAAAAAAATCAAAAGAAGAATATTCATAATATGTGAAAACTAGGTGCAATTTCCATTTCGGTGTTCATAAATAAAATTTTATTATAACACAGCCATACTTGTTTTTTTATGGATTGTCCCTGGCTGGTTTCATGCTTCAAGGGCAGAGTTGAGTGTTTGGGACAGAGATTGTACACCCTCTATGCCTTAAATATTTACTCTCTGATCCTTTCCAGAAGTTATTGACCCCTGGTATGAATGGGTTAAAGCATGGCTGTATTTCTCACTGCTTCGTGTTCCCTGAACACCATTTAATATTTTCTCTCTTTGTAATAATGTATAACATGCATGGAAGCATAATTAGTTTTATTTCACTTAACCCTTTGCAATGATTATATTAAAATTAGGATGTTCTTTTTGAAGACTAAAAATTACAGTTTTAGCTATTGCATGCAGGGCTTAATACCTAGGTAATGGGTTGATAGGTGCAGCAAACCACCATGGCACACGTTTACCTATGTAACAAACCTGCACGTCCTGCACATGTATCCTGGAACTTAAAATTTAAAAAAAAAAATCACAGTTTTGCAGTTTGCAAAATTCCACCAGGAAACTCTAAATTACTCTTCAATACCCTGGGGGGAAAAATCCTGCATCTTTTTAAACCACAGACATGTTCTTGGGGGATGAAGGCTGAGGAAACTAGCCTCCAATGTGTAATTTGATTTTCCCCACTCTCTCCTATCTTATGTGTTCAATAAGTATCTGTTGAATTGATTTTCATCATGTTGACAGATAAACTTGGTTGGCAAGAATAGGAAAGTTGTTTGTTTATTTGTTCTATGTGAAAATATAGAACTTTCAAAACACCTAGAGCAGTTTTAAGTATCTAATGATGTGGCACTTTGTTAGAATCTGTACAAAGAAATGTTAGGCAAAAATCACAAATTTATAGTTAATGGGTACTAATGCAGCCAGCAATACATGAGGTCACCCTGCTGTTTTTAATTCTGTCAGTGTGTTTTCTGTAGCATATTAAAGTTTTACAGTATATGCCACATTTAATGAGAGAAAGAAAGGATTACATTTTTCTACTGTTACTACTTCTCAATAGTTAGCAAAGAGATACTCTCTTAGCAGTCTATTTTAGCTGCCGTTACATTAACATGAGACATTAATATTTGCAAAGTTTTTTTTTTCCTTTGGGAATGAAGGGGTTAACTTTAAAAAATGTTAAGAAGGGACAACTGAGGTCCCAAAGAAAATATTTTCTTACAACTCTAAGGCAGAGCCATTTGGCTATTTAGAAGAATTGTTTTATAAGATGGGTTTTTATAGCAATCATATCCATGCAATCAGTGATGCCTCTGAGCTTGGTCCTATTGGCATCCTCATGAGGTTATAATGTAATTTAATATTGACCGTCTTAAACACATGATCAACTTTTTCAGACTATTTTTTCCTGATTTTTCACATGACATTTCCCAACAACATTTAAATTTTAAAATGCTCTGTTTTTAAAGATTGAAATCAGAAACAGATGAGAACAGTACCAATTGATTAGGCTACCATAACTTGGCAACACTGTGTGTTTAGTGTGATCAGTGCTAAAAATGTGAATTATTCACAGTGTTACACAGATGTATAAACCAGCATACTTTGTAATTTAAATACCCTAAAAATTATACTTTTCTCATAATTGTATTAATGCATGAAAAGTGTGTATCACTCATTCTGGTGATTCAGCAATGGATTTGAACTATCAAGCCATTTTAAATATCCTTAAACTGCAATATACTGTTTTTAAAAAGTAAAATATGAAAATTTACTTTTCTGGAATAAATATGTAGAATGAAGCCTGACACATAATAAGTGCAAAGAAAGTAGTTTCATGATGATACTTTGTTTTGGGTTTTTTTTGCTTGTTTGTTTGAGACGGAATCTTGCTCTGTCACGAGGCTGGAGTGCAGTGGCGCAATCATGGCTCACGGCAACCTCTACCTCCTGGGTTCAAGTGATTCTCCTGCCTCAGCCTCCCGAGTAGCTGGGACTACAGGCGTGCGGCAACACGCCCAGCTAATTTTTGTGTTTTTAGTAGAGACGGGGTTTCACCGTGTTGGCCAGGATGGTCTCGAACTCCGGACCTCGTGATCCACCCGCCTTGGCCTCCCAAAGTGCTGGGATTACAGGCCTGAGCCACCGCGCCCAGCCAATGATACTTGTTAAGAATATGGGCTATTGGGGTCAAACTGACTGAGTGTGAATCCTATTTATGTTCTTTACAGATTTTTGATCCATGGCAAATTTCTCAACCATTCCAGCCCTAGGTCACTTTATCTCTAGATTGGAAATAATAATAGGACCTACTCAATGGGATCAGTAAAAGCATTAAACATGATTGTGCAATGTGAAGTGCTTAACAGTGTCTGAGCTGCAACTTCTAATTCTTAAATGTTCTATCAGTATTGCTATATTATTGTTATTATTGTTATCTTCTATCTTTACTATGATTTTAATATAAAGTTACATATAAATGCCAGTGTAAAAAATAAATTGAATTATGATACTACAAATTCTAATCCTGAGAGCCTGAGATTACGAGGTTGAACAGTTCCCGTTCCCTTTTTAGGTTCAAGCGTTGGCCTTTTCATATATGCTGCTCTGCAGAGGATGCTGGTTGAGTTCTATGGACTGGATGGATGCTTGCTGATTGTGGGTGCTTTAGCTTTAAATATATTAGCCTGTGGCAGTCTGATGAGACCCCTCCAATCTTCTGATTGTCCTTTGCCTAAAAAAATAGCTCCAGAAGATCTACCAGATAAATACTGCATTTACAATGAAAAAGGAAAGAATCTGGAAGAAAACATAAACATTCTTGACAAGAGCTACAGTAGTGAGGAGAAATGCAGGAGCATGTTAGCCAATGGTGACTGGAAACAAGAGAGCCTACTTCTTAAAAACCCCACAGTGACACACACAAAAGAGCCTGAAACGTACAAAAAGAAAGTTGCAGAACAGACATATTTTTGCAAACAGCTTGCCAAAAGGAAGTGGCAGTTATATAAAAACTACTGTGGAGAAACTGTGGCTCTTTTTAAAAACAAAGTATTTTCAGCCCTTTTCATTGCTATCTTACTCTTTGACATCGGAGGGTTTCCACCTTCATTACTTATGGAAGATGTAGCAAGAAGTTCAAATGTGAAAGAAGAAGAGTTTATTATGCCACTTATTTCCATTATAGGCATTATGACAGCAGTTGGTAAACTGCTTTTAGGGATACTGGCTGACTTCAAGTGGATTAATACCTTGTATCTTTATGTTGCTACCTTAATCATCATGGGCCTGGCCTTGTGTGCAATTCCATTTGCCAAAAGCTATGTCACACTGGCGTTGCTTTCTGCGATTCTAGGGTTTTTTACTGGTAATTGGTCCATCTTTCCATATGTGACCACAAAGACTGTGGGAATTGAAAAATTAGCCCATGCCTATGGGATATTAATGTTTTTTGCTGGACTTGGAAATAGCCTTGGACCACCCATCGTTGGTAAGATATTTATCTTAAAGTCATCCCATTTTACTGTTCTTCCCTGTCATATCTCCAGATATAGAAATCCAGATTGTAATAGTAGCACAAATTTGTACAAAATAAATCTGCATGGAACAGCTCATGGTAATGATTTATTCAAGTCTGCTTTGATGTAATTAAGAAAGCCAGTATGTATGCTCTGGGATTTGTATTCACTCTACATTTGGGAGAAACTCAAAGTGCCTGCTTATTCTTTTTTTTTGAGACGGAGTTTCACTCTGTTGCCCAGGCTGGAGTGCAGTGGCACAATCTCAGCTCACTGCAAGCTCCGCCTTCTAGGTTCACACCATTCTCCTGCCTCAGCCTCTGGAGTAGCTGGGACTGCAGGCACCTGCCACCACGCCTGGCTAATTTTTTGTTTTTGTTTTTGTTTGTGTGTGTGTTTTTTTAGTAGAGATGCGGTTTCACCATGTTAGGCAGGATGGTCTTGATCTCCTGATCTCGTGATCCACCTGCCTTGGCCTCCCAAAGTGCTGGGATTACAGGCATGAGCCATTGCGCCCAGCCTGCCTGCTTATTCTTATCCAAATATTTGAGAGATTCTCTTCCTCTAACTCCCAGTAAACCACGTTGGAAGTAGTAGAGTAATATATATCATAATTATAACTATATATAAAACTGATGAAATTAGGGTGTGGGCTGGATATTCGTACTATTTCCATGAAACTTACTTTTTTTCTTACTGTCTTTTCAGGTTGGTTTTATGACTGGACCCAGACCTATGACATTGCATTTTATTTTAGTGGCTTCTGCGTCCTGCTGGGAGGTTTTATTCTGCTGCTGGCAGCCTTGCCTTCTTGGAATACATGCAACAAGCAACTCCCCAAGCCAGCTCCAACAACTTTCTTGTACAAAGTTGCCTCTAATGTTTAGAGGAATATTGGAAGACACTATTTTTGCTATTTTATGCCATATAGCAATGATATTTTAACAGATTCTCAAGCAAATTTTCTAGAGTCAAGATTATTTTCTTATAGCAAAATTTCACAATGGATGACTCCGAGTGAATTATTATTGTTTTTTACATATCCTTTTTTTTTATGTAGTGTATGCGTAGCCTCTATCTCATGTATTTTTTTTCTCTTTCTCCTCCCCGCACCATCAATGGGACTATTCTATTTTACTGTTATTCACTAGTTCTTAACATTGTAAAAAGTTTGACCAGCCTCACAAGGCTTTCTCCGTGTAAAGAAGTATAATTTCTCTGCCGACTCCATTTATTCCACTGCAAGGCACCTAGAGAGACCACTCCTATTTTAAAAGTGATGCAAGCAGCATGATAAGATATGTGTGAAGCCCGCTAGGAAATAAATCATTCTCTTCTCTATGTTTGACTTGCTAGTAAACAGAAGACTTCAAGCCAGCCAGGAAATTAAAGTGGTTACTAAAACAGCCTTAAGAATTGCAGTGGAACAAATTGGTCATTTTTTTAAAAAAAAGTTATTTTAACCTACAGTCACCAGTTTTCATTATTCTGTTTTATTTACCTCACTGAAGTACTCGCATGTTGTTTGGTACCCACTGAGCATACACTGTTTCCGTCCCTGAGGTGTTTGCTGAGATGTGGGTGAACTCCAAATGGAGGAGTAGTCACTGTAGACTTTCTTCATGGTTGGCCACTCCAGCCTTGCTCACTTTTGTTTCTTGACCATCCACTCAGCTGATGTTTCCCAGGAAGTGCTAATTTTACCTGTTTCCAGATTGGAAACACATTTCTCAATCATTCCGTTCTGGCAAATGGGAACCATCCATTTGCTTTGGGCACAGTGGGGATGGGTTGCAAGTTCTTGCGTATCCTCCTGGTGAAGCATTTATTTGCTACTATCGGATTTTACCACTATCAAGGGCAGAACTAAAAGTGAGTGTGTGTGTGTGTGTGTGTGTGTGTGTGCGCGCATGTGCTATGCATGCTTTAAGTCTCTGTGGGATATGGGAATGGAAAAGGGCAATAAGAAATTCATACTCTTATTCAACTGCATTTAACCTTAAGAAAAATGTCCTTGGGATAAACTCCAATGTTTAATACATTGATTTTTTTTTCCTAAAGAAATGGGTTTTAAACTTTGGTGTGCATCAGAATCCTCTACAGATCTTTTTGAAAATATAGGTGCCTGGGTATCATGTGTGGAGCTTTTAATTCTGCTGGTGTAGGCTGTTGCCCAAGCATCTATCATTTTATTGAGCTCTTCGAGTGATTCTGATAACACAGCCTGGATTGAGAATTTTTATGAGATTGGCAATGGAAAAACATTTATTCTTTTAAATAATAATTTTCTAAAAACCCAAGAGGTCAGGGGGTTTTTATAAACAAATAGCCAAGTGTTCTTTAAATAGGAGGCACCCTTCCCATTGTGCCAAAATCATCTTTTCATTTCTTTTGAAATATGTATGGTTATTTTATACTTGTATGTTGCCTTTCTTTGAAGGCGCCTGAAGCACTTTATAAGCATGAATCCTCACAGCACCTCTGTGAGGTAGGTAAATAGTACTTTTCTATGTAGTAAACCTGGAGTATGGAGAATTTCCTAACAGTTCATTCTACTTAATAATGCAATAATGGAGCTCCAAGATGTCTTGGACTTCTACACCACACTCAGACTTCTGGAAAGTTTTCCGTACCTCATTCTTTAGTCCCTGTCAAGGTTAGTAAATAAAACAAGTGACATAAAAAAACAAAAAACAAAACAAAACAGAACTACCTGTTGTGTTGAAAGTTCCTTTTTGTCAATGTTATGTTCAGGAAACTCAATAACCTGAAAAAGTTTGACTTTGATGTGACATCTTCATATTCATCAATGCTGATAATTGTCCAAAGGCATCTTCACTATGTCTACTAAATAACATCCAATGTGTGCGTTATCTATTGTCTAGGGGATGAATTTTAAGTTACAATAAAATATTTTTGTTTTGCATCAGTTTGGTTGCTTTCTCTCCTCTTAGTTCTCCACCCAATTATAGTGACACATCACTTGAATGTAAAACTATAAATTACCCGGCATAATTCAGACTCTGGAACTTGGTGACTGGACAAAAGCATATTCTAAATGCTTAGCTACTTTGATCATTGCCTTCCAAAAAGCTGGTATATCAGCTTTACCTCTTGTTGTAAAGAGTACTCTGCAGGTCTTAATTCTTAATAATAATTTCACCAGTCATTTATAGAATTCTTAATATGTTTCAAGCTTGTGTTGTTTAACCCTCATAATAACCTTGTGAGATGGAAATTATGACCCTCATTTTATAATCTAAAATATAATTGTCATAATACTATGGACAGCATATTATAAAAGTATAAGTAATTTCCAAAACCAAAACGCAAAATGTTTCTCTTTGTAGAAATTAAAGTAAACCCTTTAATTTCTAACATGGTTTAGAAATTTAGGCCTACCCAGGAGGGTTGCTCTAAAACCAATCCTTTAGTGAACAGAGAAAATTTTCTGTAGGGTAATCATGTCAGCAGGGAAGAAGGTTCAGCCACCAATCTTTAAAGGGCTCATGAGGAACAATTCCCAAGAACCAGGAGTTCCAGCACTGGGAGGTCATGACCAAAAACATATGTGCCAGCCAACCAGTCCCATGACCTTAGGTAGCCTCAGCACTTAGCAATTGGTATAGAATTATCCTAACTCAGGATGTTCCAGGACATAAAGGGGAGCTCCATTTTGAAACAAAGGACATCTCATTTTCTCTTTTACTTAGGAATATTATACTGAGCGCATAAAATACATGATTTACATTAGCAGTGTCATGCACTTTCTCCTTCATTAATAACAATCTTGGGCTGGGCACAGTGGCTCATATCTGTAATCCCAGCACTTTGGGAGACTTGAGGCCAGAAGTTGGAGAACAGCCCGGTCAACATGGTGAAACCCCATCTCAACTAAAAATACAAAAATTAACCAGGTGTGCTAGCACATGCCTGTAATCCCAGCTACTCCGGTGACTGAGGCAGGAGAGTCACTTGAACCTGGGAGTTGGAAGCTGCAGTGAGCCAAGATTGTGCCACTGCATTTCAGCCTGGGTGACAGAATGAGACCCCATCTCAAAAAGAAAAAAAACAAAAATCTCGGGACCGTCTGCTATATAGTCAATTGTATATAAAGGATGGTCAGTAAGATCCCTCTTTGAATAAGGAGTTTAATCGCAGTCAGTTAAAATGATCAGAGCTCTATGAATACGTGGATAATACTTGGGACTGCAGTGTACACACTTGTTAAGGTTGTGATTCCACAACCAGATTGCCTATCTCGGTCCCTGTGGCCAGGCGGGCTATTGTGGGAATTAAATAAGATTCCCAGTATATATACCTGACATGGTAGATGTCCAATAAAATATTAGCTATTATTTTTGTCATCATTCTTCAATGCATTGCTTCTCTGTACCTGAGGGAGGCATCAAGTGTTCCGGGAACTGGTGTAGGGTTAATGTTTGCATTAAAGAGCTTCAATTGGAAGAATAATGAGCCTCTGTTATTCCTAATCACGTAACTGTCACAGCTCTTGCCTGTTCTTGTCAAAATCTTCTTTCCTTAGGGATTCATGACTCAGCACATTTTTTGGAATTGCCATTCAGAAGCTCTGACACAAAACAAAACACAGGCTGTTCCTCCACAAATCAAATAGAAGCCACTTTGTAAATTGAATTGCTATGGGAATTTGAACTTTTTCTTTTTCTTAAGAACTCTCATCTGAACTGCTCAGAAGGTGGGCCTGAAATTGGGCAGAAAGCAAAATGATCTGATTTGTTTACTGAGTACTAATTGGCTTCGGCTCAGGGCCGTTACCTCACTGCTTTCCAGCCTTTGAGACTTACTCTTGAGGGAGTGCAATTTCTTGCCAGGTCTCCTGGGATTCTATTCCTAGTAGATCTCAGCCGCATTAGTTGTTTTTTTGCTGCTTGCATTCCTTGTCCTAATGAGTCATTTACTTTTATTCTTTCTCCTTGCAAAAAGAAAAATTTAAATTTAATCAGTGTTTAATAAAAAAAGATATTCTAAAATCTTTGGTAAGCAGCATGTTTTCAATACCTAATAATTAACTGTGGTCAAGTGCTTTCCTGCGATAGGTCAACTTAAAACTACATAGCCACAAATATATGCTTATTCTTTTCTCCTGGAAAAGTTCCTGATGTGATAAAGCAAGTTGTGATTCCTACAGCTTAAATCTGAAAACTGCTGAATATCTACAGCTCTAAGAGGGCATTGCTAAGGGCAGCCCAAATGACTTTAGAACCCTAGCAACAAAGGAACAGGCATTTTTCTGGAAAGCACTCCCTGGTAAACTTCCTGCATGCAAACTCTGTTCCATAGTCCTTCCCATCAGGTAACAGGACAACTGAAATCCCAACATGTGGAGATAATGCCAAATACACAGGGTCATCAGAGCAGAGAGGGAGGGAGACACCTTTCTTGAAGGCCTTTTATGTGCCCAGTATTGTTCCAGGTACTTCACAAACCGTGTCTTGTCCTGTTTAAGCTCTAAAGCTGTTGGCAAGACTGGCTGCTCGACTGTCAAGATACCGTAAAGACGCCTTCTTGTCTTAGGACATTTGGAGTCTGACTCTTTCCTGACAGGTTCAGGTACTTCATTTCTTATTCATCCAACACTTCTTAAGTGAGCACCTAGTATGTGTTGGGTACTCTCCCAGGTACCAAGGATATAATGATGAGCAAGATAGACAAGGTTCCTGTACTCTTTGAGCTCATCGGTGCCCCAGAGTTGAACAGAATAAGTTAGATGGCAACGCAGTTGTAACAGAAGCTTCAGCTCCTGTGGGCAATTCTGGAGCTGGGATGGTCCTTCAGCATTGGCCCAGTGGAGTTCAGTCATGTCTGACTCACATTAAGAGTCCCAAAAGAATGGATTTAGGGGAGCAAGATGGCTAACTAGAGAAGCCTGGCACTCTCCCCTCACACAAAAGAACCAAGGAAAGAAATACACAGCTAAAATTTGACTGCGGTGTTGAAGATAGACTGCTGGGGTACAGTGGGACAGTGGAGATGCACCTGTGGTGATTGGAAGTCTAGGAGGGCAGTGTGGAGGTACCTGACAGCTGCAGTCCCATCTCCTCCACCTAGATTGGATTGTCCCAGAGACGGGAGGGACTTCCTGTTGCATGGGAAAGGAAGCAAAAGATCCCCACCAGCCCTCATTGATACTGCAGACAGCTACAGTCCTTACAACAGGAAAATCCTGCAGTCCTCACAAGTCCTGAGGCCAATTTGGAGACCTGCTGGGAATTCACTCAGCTACGTTGCCCCAGATTAGGAGCACAAGGTGTGTACTCCCTATCTACCCTCGAGCCTCTGTGAACCAAGCTGCTGCAGCACAGTGCCATCTTGAACCAAAGCACCTCTGGAATGTACCCTGCTCTGGGGGCTAGCAGCCACTGCACCTCTCCAGCACCGGAGCTCCATCTTCATTCCACCAGTCCACAGAGATGACTGAATGCCACAACCCCAGCAGCGTGGAGCCAGAGCCCAGAATCAGCTGTGACTCTGGTCCTGCACAGCCAAGAAACCAACCTCTACTGCTGCACTTCCAGTCAAACAAATGGTCTGGAAGTCCCACCCAGGGCGACCCTTCCCTTGAGCTGGCCAAACTGCTGCATACGCTATCCTAAGCAGAAGCAGTCCCTGAGCCTCCAAGCAGCTGATATGCCCCTGTGCCATTGGAGAGGAAATGAGTCCAGGATCTGGAAACAGCCCTGTAGCACCCTTGCTCTCCACAGACATGCCTCTGGACTGTCCAGTGGCCCTGCATCCCCAACAAGGGCCTGAGAAACAGTCCTGCAGGTAGCTCCCGGTGGGCATGCCTCCAGGCTAGCCAAGCAACTGTTCACCCACGTATTGGGCTTCATGAGCTGCTTCTAGTGGGCATAGCTTCATGCCTGTGCTTGCATCCCAGACCTACAAAACAGCCTTGGTAGGCTCTTCCCTGTAGAAACACCACCAGGTTTGCTAAGCAGTCATGCAGCAATGTCATGAGTCTGAGAATCAGTCTCGTGGCTCCCCTGACAAACAAGCCCCTAGGCCAGGTTGGCAGCAATGTGCTCACGTTTTGGACCTGAAAAATAGCCTTGTGGGCCACCCATAGCAGATATGCTTCTAGGCTGACCAAGCAGATTTGTATCTGTGTTCCAAGACAGCAAAATAGACCCCTGGGTCACCTCCAGCAGTCATGCACTCAGGTGAGCTGAGAAACTGTGTTACCACATCTCAGACCTGAGAAATAGCCCTAAGGGCTGCCCCTAACACATATGTCCCCAGGCTGACCGAGCAGTTTTATGCCTGCATTCTGGACCTGAGAAACAGCTCTGCAAGCTTCTCCTGGTAGGTACACCCCCACCCTGGCCAAGCAACCATGTGCCTATGCCCATGGCAAGAGTAATAGCACTGTGGCCTTTCCTAGTGAGCCAATCCCCAGGTTAGCCAACCCACTGTGTATAGCATAAGCCCTTGGCCTGTGAAACAGCCTGATGAGCCCAACACTAACAGCACTGCTGCCACAACCCCTCTCAGCCTTGGCCACCAAGAAATTTTTAAATGCCACTAGTGTGGGTCATAGCTGAAGAAACTACACAAAGACTACACTGCTAAATCTCTCTAGGACAAAGGCCCACATATCCCACCAAACTGATATCCCAGGACCCATTCATACAAATAAATTTTTCCTGACAAAACCTAATTCTTAAAATTGGAAGAGGTGACTTTTCCACTAGATGCATAGAAATGAACACAAAGACACATCAACCACAAAAAAGCAAGGAAACATATCATCTCCAAGTAAAAGCAAGAATTCCCTAGTAACAGACCCCAATCAAGAGGAAATATATAAAAATGTCAGAAAAGAATTCAAAATAATAATCTTAAGGAAACACAGTGAGATACTAGTGAATACAGATAGACAATTCAGTG